TCCCAGGCTGCTGCACTCCACCCTCTGCCCGTCTGCCTCTGGGGCCGTGGGAGGGGATGCGGAGGGCGCTCTTGCAACTGACCCACCCGCTGGCCCCCAGCTTCCCCAGCCCCTCCCTGGAGAAAGCAGCTGTGGGCAAGGGGGCTCCCTGTCCCGGAGGAGAGGTGGCTTCACCTGGGTGCCCTGCTGGCACAGATACATCTGCCCAGGCAGGGAGGGAGGCTTCCTTCCGGGGAGGGAAGGGGGTCCCTCCTGCTCTGGTGCACAGCCCCAGATTCCTCTGGTTTTCCTTGCTGTGCTCAGAAGCCTCCAGTGTTGGGTCCCCCTCTGTCTGTGGGGCGGGGTTCCTGCTCCTCTCCCTCCAAGCGGGCTGATGGGAAAGCTACCTTGCACAGAGATGGCCCCTGGATCTGGCGTATTCCCACACTCTTCAGTCCCTTGTTCCGCTCAAGAGTTAAAACTTTGGTAAATGTCCTGCGGACCTGAGAAAGGAGACCAAGGACAGCCCATGAAACCCATGGGCGCGGGCAGCAGGGAAAGAGACGGCCGTAGATCTTTAAAATTCTCCACTGAGTTCTTGGAGCTACGAACTTGCTTCGGGTGAGGGAAAGCGAGGCCTTTGGGTGCCCCATTTTGGGCCAGGTCGCAAACCCCCACATGGCACGCCCACAACGCAACTCGCATTCTCCTTCCCCCAGGTAGGAATCTGCGGCACACACTGAGGGGGTAGAGTCCTGGAGCCCAGGAACAGGTGCCATGCCCCAGGGGGGTTGGCTGGGGATTATGGGCATGGAAGTCCAACGCATTTGGGAAGCCCAGGCTGAGGCCCTTGAGGTGAGTGGGTCTGTGTCCTGGGTAGCACCCTTGTGCTAGCTGGAAGAAGCGGGCCGTGCCTCCCTCCTTGACCCAATGATGCTCTGTCCCCACAGCTCATGTGAGGCAGGCCTGTGGCAGTGCACTGCGCCCCCGGAGCCTTGCAGCGCCCCCTCCCGCTGCACTGAGGCAGAGTTTGCCTGCCACACGGGCGGGCGCTGCGTGCCAAGGGCCTGGCTCTGCGACAACGAGGACGACTGTCGGGATGGTTCAGACGAGCTCTGCCCCTCGAGCTGCACCCCACAGGAGTACCGGTGCACCAGTGGGCAGTGCATACCCTGGGGGTCCCATTGTGATGGCACCGTGGACTGCGCCGACCGCTCGGACGAAAAGGACTGCCCCTTGCCCGCCTGCTCCCCGCAGGAGTTCCGCTGCAGCAACGGCCGCTGCATCCCTCGCCAAGACCGCTGCGACGGGGAGCTGGACTGCGGCTTCGCTGACCCCTCGGACGAGGCAGGTGAGGCCACGCCGGGAAGAAGAGGACCGAGGCAGGCCAGGGAGGGAGGAAGCCTCTGGCCCTCTGGAGAGGGCGAATCCAAGGCAGCCCCTGGCAGCAGGACTTCTCCCGTCTGCACCGTGTGGCCCCGGGCCCTTGAGGAAAGGTTCAGGAGCACCCCTGCCCATTTGGAGGGCCTTCCCGGGAGTCTGTGCCCCCTTGGAGTGCTGTTTTCTCCAGACCAAGCTGGGGAAGGTGGAGGCAAAGCAGCGGAAGGATAGTGGGCACCGGGCAGGTGCAGATCCTGGGGGAAGAGCTCAGGCAGGGCATGGGGGTGCTTGGCTGGCCCTTGGGGAAACGGGGGGCGAGAGAGGAGATGCCTCCCTTCCACAGCACGGGGCTTCTCAGCTGTTGGGGACTACAGCCTTCGGCCGCATGGGCTGTGGTATGATAGGGCTTGTGGTTTGCCACACCTGGGGGGCATCAACTTGGGAAAGACTTGACAAGGCAGTGACGCGTGTGGGGCAGGGGGTAGAAACAAGCCAGGTGGGGTCCACAGCAGTGTGACCTGAGCCCTGCCCCTTTGGCATACGTGTCGGATTTGCCCTTCTTGAACTTACTCCGACAAAGCAGCAACCTGCAGGGGAAATTGTGTCGATCCTTTGATAGATGAGTGCAGAGTTCGTCAACCTTGGCCACTTGAAGAGGTGTGGACTTCAACTCCCAGAATTCCACAGCCAGCTATGGTTGGCTGGGGAA